AAATATTAAAGATATTTGGCAATTTTTAGTAATTAATATCTCGTTAACCATTGAGAAAGTTGCAAAATGATAAAGGACTTTTCGACTCAGTTTAGTCCGCTCTATCTATACAAAAATGCTTGGCAAAAAATTTCGGGACACCCTGTATCAAATCAAGCTGATCGGCGGTGTGTTATCAATGCGCTTTAATTGTTAATTATTTAACAAAAGCACACAGGGAAAGTATAAGCAAAAGTACAAGCAAATTATACATCTGATTTTCAGTACGAAAGACAAGAAATGTCGACATTTTATTTTGACTCATTACTCTTTATCTATTCAGTTAAAGAAATAGATTTCATTAATTACAGTGAAAATAGATTTCACTTATTTTCACTGTATTTACGTTAAAAGGTTTGATACTGACTTCCGATGAATCTACATGTAAGCATTCGGCACCTAGGACGCCATCGACCAGTTTCGCTTGAAGGATGGCAGTGAGGACATCCTGCGTTCCTACTAGCCAAGCTAAGGCTATCAATGCATCTCTATTATGTTTGCCGTCTTGCGACAAACTGTAGAACTCGATCACTGGATATTGTAAGAATGCGAGATGCAGCTTCACTGCCGATGGAGTGTCTGGAAATACGATTGACAATGTAAAGTCTTTTTATAAGAAACACCAATTGAGTACACGCACGCATTTGCACGCGTGCACTCGTGCTGAAATATATATCGTATAAATATTGGGTCATTTAAGAAGTATCCGCGGTTTTTTCATTCAAAAATTGAACAAAAAATCGCGGATACTTTTTAAATGTATAACCTAATATATACAAAGAAATATTAATATTATAATATTACAATATTAAATAAAAAATGTCTTTTAAACCATATACGTGAATACACAATTAATTATTATTATAAAATTAATAAATATACCATTAATTAATAATGTTATTATTATTATACAACTATTTATTATAATATTATAACATTAAGTAAAAAGGAGGTCAAAATTAGATGTTGGAATAAAAAATAATTCTATATGCAATTTTTATTTTAAATTTAATATTTTAATATTTACTTTATATGT